GGCAATTTGAGGTCTTTTATGGTTCTATATTAATTTTAGGATTATTTGTTCCAGTTCTGTAAAAAAATATCCCCTTTAAAAATCACATGAAAAAATACTTAGGAATAAACCTGACCAAGGAAATAAAAGACTTGTATTCTGAGAACTATAAAACATTGATAAAGGGAATTGAAGATGATTTAAAGAAATAGAAAGATATCCCATGCTCTTGTATTGGAAAAATTGGCCATGCTACCCAAAGAAATCTACAGATTTAATGCAGTCCCTATCAAAATAATCATGACATTTAAAAAAACTCCAAGATAAGATCTTGTTGCTATCAAAAGAGCAGTAATAGACCATTCCTTTTGGAAACTGAGTGCCATATATATCAAGAATTGCAGATATTAATACTTCAATTTGAAAGCTATGATTATGAGAAAATACTCAACTTTATGATAGATAGATATAGATAGATATCTGATAGATATGAAACTGACAGAGGTGGCCAAAACTCAGTCAGCCTAGAAGGTGCTCAACTGACAAAACTCCTTGCTTGAAAGGGTTCGTTACCATTTAATCTTTGACCTTTCACAGTAAGAATCCCAAGAAATGCTTAAATGCTCTAACTTGAAATGAGAAAAACTAAGTAAGACATGGTCTCTATTTTTATGGAATTTACAATCTAATAAGGGAGAAAAGCTAAGAGCCTATAATAAATGTGTGATCCGTACCATAAGCGAGATACAATATTGTGACGTGATTAAGAAGGTGGGCTCTGGTCTAAGACTGGTGGGTTTGAACCATGTCTTGATGGTAGCTACATTAAGTTGTGCAAGACTCAACCCTTCCCCACCTCTGTTTCCCCATCTATAAAATGGGAACAGTAGTACTCTCTTCAAGAGGAATATGGAAGGCAGTAAAATTTGGTGTGGGTAATTTCTGGGATACTGCTTTTAGTGACTTGTTTCTATTCAATAATGTTTGAGTGTGTGTTTAAGAGTGTCGTTAAGTTGCAGTGCTTGGTGTACCATTCATGGGTGAATTAGAGGCCCGTGTTAGAATACCTAGAGTCTGTTTCCAGCCCTTCATAAACTCTCCCAATCATTCTGCTTCACTGGGCCTTTGGTTTCTTCTCTATTTAAATGAACATAGGAAGTTCTCCAGCAGGGCGTTATCTGTCTTGTTCCACATCTGGAACAGTGCTTGGCTTATAGTAGACATGGATAAATGTTGGTATAGCGCAACTTGGAGATATTATGAAGATGGCACTACAATATGTGTGAACATAACTTTGAGAAGGAATCATAAGTACTACACAGAAATGCTTGATTTTCCTTGTTTAAGATTCCAAAGAGAGATGAGAGATAGGAAACTGCTACATTTCTCTACCAGGATCTAAGCATGAGATTTAGAGTCAGAGAATCTTGCCAGGAGCTGTGTTTCTACCACTAGAGACTTCGTAACTTCAGATAATTTAACCTCCTTGAACTTCATTTCTTTCACTGGTCTTTTTTGGGTTATCTCCCATGCTGTAGAGTATTTTTTAGGGCTCCAAAGATCAATGAGATAAAAACACTTGTGAGCTGCAAATGTACAAGTACAAATGTACTAAGAAATTGTAACTTTTTAAGTTTTCCTTAGAATCATGAAAAGCAAACCTGCATTTCTATTACTCAAGTCTAAAGTAGTGAAGATAAAGCTGTGTTATCTCCCAAAAAACGCTGATTTTTTAAATGGACCCCCTTACTCCCACCTTTTATACACAGATGAGCAAAGCTGCGTGAGGGAATGTCTCTGCACTGTCACACCAGCTTTTTTCAGTTGTTGCACCTAACTGGTTCTGCGCCAGCTCCGAAAATAGTTCCAGTCTGAAGGAAGACATGCAGACAAGTTCTGGCTGGAAATGTTTTGAGGAACTGGCCAGGGGCCCGTCAGAGGTTACAGGCCAATTTTAAAAATGAAGAAAATTCCTTCTCCCATTCCCTCTGTCTTATATAAAATGCATGGCCAGAGTTCAATTCCTATTTGTATTTTTCCTTTGTCAAAGTTTAAAGTTCAAATTTATTATTTATTATTGTTTCTGTACTTGATAGACCGATAGAAAAAATCTGCCTCCAGAACCTCACTCACTGTCTTATGTGCTGAGAAAAAAAAATATTATATAGATATATATTCTTTTTTGTTATTTTTTTCTTTCAAATATATTTAGGCAACCTATATGATTTAGTTATAGGACTAAATTTGACTACTTCTTTAAATATAAACTTACAAACTCACAGAACATACTCTTTTAGAAGTACTTTCTATAATACAAATGTGGAAATGAATTTACTCTTGAAGTTCAACTTAGGAATACTACTTAGAAGAATTTGTGTCTAAGTAGAATCTAAGAAAGAAAAGAGTGGGGTAGCCAGTTCCATCACCTGTGAGACATTTTTGCTGTTGTTGTTGTCGTGTCTCTTTAGACTTAATAAATAGCTTTATCAATATATAATTCACATACTATCCAGTTCACTCATTTAAAGTATACAGTTTAGTGAGTGGGCTTTTAGTATATTTGAAAATTGTGCAGCCATTATCACTATCTAATTCCAGAATATTTTCATCGCCCTCAAAGGAGACCCTATACACGTTCAGTAGTCAGTCCACTTTCTTCTCTTCTCCAGGCTCTCACAACCATTAATTTGCTTTCTGACTCAGGATTTAATATAAATGGAACCATACAGCATGTGGCCATCATGACTGGCTTCTTCCACTTAGCATCATTTTTTCAAAGTTCATTCATGTTGTGGCATGTGTCAATACTTTATTCCTTTTTAGGATAGAATAATATTTCATTGTGTGGATACATCACATTTTGTTTATCCACCCATCTGCTGATGGACACTTGGAATGTATCCACCTCTTGGCTATTCTGAATAGTGCTGCTATGAACATGAGTGTACAAATATGTCTTCAAGACCCTGCTTTCAATTCTTTTGTGTCTATACCTAGGCATAGAAGTGCTCGGTCATATGGTAACTGTTTAACATTTTGAGGAACCGTCAGACTGTTTGCCACAGCAGCTATACTATTTTACATTCCCATCACCAATGTTCAACAGCCCCAGTTTCTCCAATTTTTCTCTCTTTTTTATTGTAGCCATCCTAAGGATATGAAGTGGTATCACTTTGTGGTTTTCATTTGTATTTCCCAATCTGGCTATTTAAATTAAAGAATATACTTTAAATGTTTTTCTAGCGGTCATTCGCCTGACAACCTTAACCCTCCAGAACATATTGCATGGAACGTACTGCAAAAGGGTCTCCAAATCTGTAAGAGCAGTCACACACCACACACCTTCTGCATGAAAGCCTGGTACTTTGTCCCCAGACATCTCATATAGTGAATAACTAACTCTTATTTAACATTCACGATTATGTAGTCCAGAAAGGAGCTGGACAGTCCACCATGGCAGATACTGTGGCAAGAAGGGAAATTACAGTAGAAGTGATAATTAATAATCTGCTACTGAAAGAGAACTATAATACTTCCCAGGACGTTTATAATACCAAGTCTTCAACCAGAGGTCAAATTATGCTCAGTACTTTTTAAGAAGACAAAGCTACATATAATACATTTTGGAAATATTTCCGTGAAGAATGACTTAGAGAAACACATTTTGCTCTTAAATGAATAAGCTTGGGTTTTCCATATACTTAATTTCCTAATGGTGTCTGAAAAATCAGGTGAATGTAGAAAAGATAAACCGAAAATTCAGATTCTATAAAATTACTGAAGAAACTGTTTAAAAGAGTAAGTGAAATGTTTTCAAGAACTTTAATACAGCTTTTTTGATGGGTTAACAATTAGTTGATTTATCTGCTACTCAGAGCTTACTTTGGCTTTAGAAGGTCCCAGTTAATTTTGGTACATGTTCATGGCAGAATGCTGGTAAATTAACATTTATCTTCTCAGCTGAGTTCCTGGAAATTGTTGCTGGTTGACAGTGGGTTGAAGTACAAACCCTAAAACTGCACAATATTTAATGTATGACCAGTGTATGAACAGTCCGTTCTGTCTCACTTATTAGTCCACGCTGAAACTTCCTTCTGAGTTTCTCAATGTCCCTTCATAAAGACTGAGAACTAATAGAGCATACACCGAAAAAAATAAATCCAGCATCATTTCAAGGGTTTCTTTCTTGAACTGAAGCACATTTGACATTTCACAGTCTTCCCCCTGCCTCATTTGCAGTGAGTCTCCAGATAGTTGTGCCATGACTGTTTTATGTCATCATCAACAATTACATTTCAAGTACACAGTGTCCTCTTTCTGTTTTCTGGATTCTGAGAGCAGAACAAGCCTTCGCCCAGACCATAGTAAAGCCAGTTTCATGGTAGGCCTTTGGTAGCCTCTCAAAGCTGGAGACACACAGGTGGATCATGACTGCATAAAGGGATGTCACGTCAGGGTCTGGCATTTTCTGTGCAGTGGAACCCCAAATGAATTTCTGCCACCAAACAGATCAAAATGCAACAGTCTTCTTTTCTTTTGAATTGGACTGTTGCCAAGTCTTATATTTCAACAGTAGGTCAAAGAGGTGGCTTTCTTTTACTATGTAGGATTCTACACTGGGAAATGGCCTTCTTACTGACAGCGCCGACTGTGCTACGCTGCACCGTAAGTATGTGGCTGAATGCGTGTGTGCTCAGTCGCTCCGTCACGTCTGACTCTTTGCGACCCTATGGACTGTAGCCCACCAGGCTCCTTTATCCATGGGATTCTCCAGACAGTAATACTGAAGTGGGTTACCATTTCCTCCTCCAGGGGATCTTCTGACCCAGAGATTGAACCTGCATCTCCTGTGGCTCCTGCATTGCAGGCAGTTTCTTTACTGCTGAGTGACTGGGGAAGCCCCAATATCTAGAGGCTTTCTGTTTTAAAGAGGTTATGTTACTGCTTTTCAAAATCTAGAGTTTAAAACAAAAGCATTGCGTTATATTAGCTAATTTGAATTTATTTTATTTTTGCAGGTTTCTGCAAAGTGTCTTCTCTGAAAACGCTGCAGCTTGGATTCCACCTCAGAGCTGTCTCTTTCTAAACCCCTCTCCCTACCACCATCACTGCCACCTCTCCCCACCCTGCACCCCCCCAAAATTTTTTCAATTTTCATAGTCATTTTCTCTCCTCCTGATTTTGCAACCAAAAGAAAAATTTTGCGGTTGTAACATCCTACCAATCCTAGTCTTTAAATCCAAGAGATAGGGACAAAACCTTTTCTCCCCTTGATCTGAGACCATTCCACAAATTGACGGGCAGCCAGCAGCATTTGCTCTTTTGTAAGAATAACTGAGAACATCAACTGGAGAACACAGAATCCTTTTGAAATTCTGCCAGTTATTTGAAGTAACTTTGGCAGAGGAAAAACAAAACACTCAGTATCTTAACGTTGACAGTTGCCTTCTTAGGAGTTGGTCTCTAATGTGATTTTTAGTTACTCTGATACAATTTTTATTTTACAGTGGACTTTTTGTTTGACCACTGAGACCGAATTTGACTTAGATTCAACCCTAAGTGCTAACAAAGAAGCATTTCACCAAAGCAACCTGTTAGCTCTTCACATTTAGCTGGAATTTATTTTTAAGCTTTCAACAGCAGCACTAATAGTGCTCTAGAGAGGGTGTACTTGATTTTAAGTTTGCTTTCAGTATGGCAGCTGTCAGTATTGCCCTGGTTCGTGATGCCAAGTGGCTGACTTTGGAAGTGTGTAGAGAATTTCAGAGAGGAACCTGCTCTCGAGCTGATGCAGATTGCAAGTTTGCCCATCCACCAAGAGTTTGCCATGTGGAAAATGGTCGTGTGGTGGCTTGTTTTGATTCTCTAAAGGTGAGTCTCATCTAAATGCACATCATTTAAAATCGACACTTGTTGATTGCTGGGCTTTTTGAAATATGTTGTACTCTGAAATTAGTCAAGTTAATAATAGTATGAAAGTGGTAAGTTTGGGTTTTTTTCTTTTTTTATTTTTATTAGTTGGAGGCTAATTACTTTACAGTATTGTAGTGGTTTTTGTCATACATTGACATGGATAAGTTTGTTTTTTAAGGCAGGATGGAGACTTTGTATTTGTAGAACTCAGCCAGACTAAAGCACACCCATCAAAGCTCACTGACCAAGACAGATAGAGAAAAAAGCTCAAGAATTTTTGTAAGAGAGACTGTAGCCTTGCTTTACTTTACTTCTGTGTATATTATTTAGGTTTTTAATGCAGTGATCATAATCCTCAGATTAACTAGAGAAGTCCTTACTGAAATATAGCTCATTATCTATGTTACCGAAAGATACTTGGCAGGGACCAATCAGAGGGTAAATAAAGTCAGATGGAGAGAGTAAAATGTGAAAATCTCATCATCCAGGAGGAAAATGATGGCATTTTGAATTTTCTTAGTCAAAGTCTATTTTGAACCTTTAACTTGAACTTACTGCTACAGTACTAGGTTCATATCATTTTCTTCCTAAACAGCTGATTGACCAATTTCAGATTTGTGAGCACATTTTATAAGGAAAGTTTTATTGCCAAGGTTATCAAACCTGAATATTATGTAGTAGAGTACAAACAAATGTGAGGGAGGATGAGATTATATAGAATAGAACATATATGATTGCAGAACAAAAAATATACTGATTTCCATGTTTTATTCATGGTTATCCTTAAATTAAGGGTAAACATGTACAAATTAAAGAATAGGAGTTAAAAATGGTAATAGATACCTGGTTTAACTAATAAGATTTGCTATGATGCATTTGAGATTTTTTTTCAAAATGTTAAAATGAATTAAGCTTAATATTAATAAGAACCTTTTCAATTTCTTAATACTGTTTTACTTCACCAAGACCAATTTTATCTCATTAACGTTTTTATTTATGGCAGCATTGGCTAATAGAGATGTATACTTTTGTATGATCACTTATTCAGAAAACATTTTATCATGATAGCCTATTTAAGTATTTACTTTTGCTTATGTTGTAGTTGCTAGTTTTTGTTTCAAACCATTCCAGTTCAAGAATGGGCACTAGTTATAAAGATAATGGCAACTCCTAACATTGAAAATGTCTGAATTGCCTTTTTTTGTAGCAGGTATTAAGACTAAAGGGATTATTCTGTTTTCTTCATTTCATTTTCATTCAAGTTTCATCTATAATTATTTTACATATGATTTAAATCAAGGTCTTGGCAGTGTCTTGAATAGAAAAGAGCACTGGACTAGTTTGGGGGTAGGAGGGAAGGAAATGTCTTTTAGCCAGTCCATATAGAGGGTCCATCACTGCACTAGGCACTTTACATATCTTGTTTCAGAAGTTCCAGCCCCACTACTGTTTCTGACAAAGCTTGAGTTGCTTCGTTTCTAATGCATGGATAATTCTTCTCTCCCTAACTTCCATGATTATTGCTGAGATTCCAATAAGGTGACATAAATGAAAAACCATGTATCACTATAAAAATGAACTAAGGACTTCCCTGACAGTCCAGTGGTTAGGACCTGGTGCTTTCATGTCACGGCCCCAGATTCAGTCCCTAGTACAAATATACATTGCCTTTAAAAAAATTAATTTGCCGTTTAGATAGCACATGCATCACAGTTCCATATCTGCATGAAAACTTTGCAGTCCTGTTATATTATTCCTTATCCATGATATACACAAAAACCATACCATGGTATGCATGAAAACGATGCATGAAAACAGTTGACCTAAGTGGGTGGCACTACTACCATATCGACAATATACAAATAACATACCTCGATGGTTACTGCAGCATTCACTACCTACTTTGAGTTTCTGTGATTGAAACACTTTTGGAACGTATCTGTGTACTGTTTCCTCATCTATGAGTGGTTAAATAACTGAAGCAATCACTTGATGAGTTTTGGGTGCCTGCTTTTGGTTTTTGGTTTTTATAAGGATTCTATTAGCACTAAGTACTCTACCAGATGATGATGGTTCTTTGCTTTCATAATAGGCATAGTAGCTAACAATATCCTATACTCATCTCATAATGAGGGAATATTAGGAAAATAAGGAGGTTAAGCTTGATGGCTAATTGTGCTGAAGTGCTGGGCCTATCACTCTATGAGTGTTGAGTATTCAGTGATGAAGCTTGCACCATCTTCAGTTGGAGATCTAGACATCACAGCCCATAGATTAATTTCCAGCTACATAAAAGAGTCTCATTTCATGTTGACATGAAACTTTTATGACTCAGTTGCCTAGTCTGCTTGGCACAATTGATTTCAGAAAGTATTGCTTAACCCATTCTGTGCCAAATTCTTGATATTACAGTTCACAATTAATCTAGGTTAGTATTTTTAGTGACTGTCCCTTGACTTTAACACAAGATCGTCACTGAAAATACCAACCCAAAATCTGTGATTGTTTTCATAGCCTGTGTTATCTTCCTCCATACTTGAAGCAGTGTGATATCTGCCACTTGTTATCCAGGAAGGATATAAATGCTGTCATTATCTAATTATGAAAGGTCAACATCCATCACATCTGCCCACCCCACTTACCACCTTGTGTAGTTTTTTAACAGAAATTTCCTGGCAGGGGCCTTAGCAGCTGGTATAGTCACAGGACAGCCATGTCAACCTATATACATTCCTAGAAGATGGGAACTGAGCAAGGAAAAACAGAAAACAGTACCACACTGTCTTAAAGTATTGCATATGATCACAAGCATAATAATAATATTTTGGCAAGTGAAACCAGTTGTATAGGTATATGGATGTGAATATCCTTGTAGGTCCTGAGTTAACTTTGTCCTGAGTTACCAGTATATTCTGTGCGACTATCACTAGTCACAGCAGTTTCCATCAGTTTGAAATTTGATTATTTTTGACTGAATATTTACCTCATCCCTGTTTGCACAGGGAAAACTTAGCAGGAGCAGAAGACTCCTAGCAACATAATCCCAAGGGTTTCTGGATTATGCAAGTTTTAGAACCATTTATGAGCCTGATCAGAGAGGTCTGCCCGCACTGGAAAGAATACATAGATACCGCCTATCATCCTGAGACTCAAGGAAAGTAACATTTTACTTAAGGATCTTCTTACATTACTGACGTTAAAAAGGAAGTATCTTTGACCAGTAAAAGTCAGTGCTGTTTTGGACATTTCAAAAATCTCTCTTGAAAGAAAAATGGAATTACAGTCAGCATCCAAGTAAATACATATCGATGGCTCAGCCTCACTTTAAAGTTTTTATTTTGAAGTAATGTTAGGCTTACAGAAAAGTTTCAAAAATAGTATAAGGAGTTCCTGCATACTCTTCACCCAGCTTCCTGTAATGTCAACAACTTACATACCATACATAGCACAGTTATCAAAGCCAGGAAATAACTCTAGTTCGATACTATTAAGTAAATTAGAGACGTTATTTGAATCTCACAAATTTCCCTCCTAGTGACCTTTCTGGGCTCCAAAATTCAATCCAGGACCCCACATTCTGTTTGGTGATCATGTCTCCTTAGTCATCTCCAATCTATGACAGTTCTTCAGTCTTTCCACATCTTTCATGACCTTGGCACTTTGGCTGAATACTGGTCACTCATCTCATAGAATGCCTCTTAATTTGGGTTTGTCGACTGCAGTGTCATGATTTGATTGAGTTCGTGCATTTTTTGGCAAGAAAACCATAAATGATGTGCATATCATATTTGATTGTACTTGATGTATCTCCCAGAGAAGGCAGTGGCACCCCACTCCAGTACTCTTGCCTGGAAAATCCCATGAATGAAGGAGCCTGGTGGGCTGCAGTCCATGGGGTCACTTAAGAGTCAGACACAACTGAGCGACTTCACTTTCACTTTTCACTTTCATGCATTGGAGAAGGAAATGGCAACCCACTCCAGTGCTCTTGCCTGGAGAATCCCGGGGATGGGGGAGCCTGGTGGGCTACCGTCCATGGGGTCGCACAGAGTTGGACACGACTGAAGTGACTTAGCAGCAGCAGCAGCAGATGTATCTCCTCTCTCATGGTAACCTTTATCACCTGCTAAAGATGGTGTCTGCTGGCTTTTCTGCTGTAAAGTGATCAGTTCTCCTTTTGTGAAAATCGATAAATATCTTCATTTATTCAACATCTCCTCGACATACCATTGATTGAAGGGTCACCCAGCATCCAAGCTGTCAAACTGTGGGAAAGTATCCATCTTAGACGTCTGTACTTACAGTCAATCAAGAAAGATAGGGAGGAGAAAACGGACCATAAGAGAGAAACAGCAGCAACTGGCCACCAGGAAGACAGAACCCTGGGGAATGGAAAGCCCAAGAAATTTTGTGATGTGCTCGTCCTTGTCCCCTGCTCCTATGGGGTGGCCCCTGTGCTGAAGTCAGCGCCACCCCACCCCCCAGCACCTCTAACTCTGCATTAGGAAACAGACTTTCTGCCTTTTGTTTTCATGATAAATAACGTTTCCCCCCAATTTAGAAAGTTATTCATCTTTATGAAGGGAAGGGAAAATACAAAAGAAAATTTAAAAATCATACACAAGAAGATAAAAATAAAAAGAAAATGTAATAAGCTGTAATGAAATGTCATCCCCAGTACCACTGCCAACATTATGCATTTCATTTCACTCTTTATCGAATTGTATTTATGCTGCATAAACCTTGCCTTACCTTCTGCCTTCTTACAGACCTCTCTCCCTCTCTCACTCCCACTTGCTGATCCTGCAAAGTCAACCTCTCCCTCCCTTTATCCTTCCTGTCAGCTTCAGATTTTTCCCAGAGTATCAGAAAATATCTAAATATTGCCTGATCTTCTCCCATCATAGACTTTTTAAAAATATACCAATTATCATAGTTATTTTTTTTTCTGATCAGAA